CAAAAAAAAAAAAAGGTTAGGCACACAAACCAGGGTAAGAGCCAGATAATCTTTCCAAAGGAGGCTGGTTGAGGGACGCAGGAAGGAGGGAAGCAGCAAGACAGACAAGCAGGCACACACGCAAAAGGGAGTCATGGAAACCAGACAAACCAAGGTGTTGCTCAGGCAAAGATCCCTAGCTGGCCCAGAATTATTTGTAGCCAGGCTAGATTGGTGTGGCACTGAACAAATCTTTCCTTTCCTTTTTATTCACTACACAACGTACAGTGCTTCCATCTTTTCCTAGTTCCCCCCACTCTTTCCAGGCCTTATCCTCTGCTCACAACACAACAATAGAAAGTTCACTGTTGTGCTGATCTCAGGGAAAGAAGTACGCTACCTCTTAATCACTCTCATTCACTCTTATCAGAATTGAGCCGATTTGCAGCATAATGAATAATAACACATGACATCAACAAGGTGACTGGAAATCTCATTGTTGTTCTTAGCAAGCTAAATAGTAGAAAACATGCATGGGTAGCTGTGTTGGCCATTTGGCAAATTCAAACAAAAATCCACCAAACAGTGATACCTTTATTGGCCAACCAATGTGCACAATATGCGTATTGCAAGCATTTGAAGCTTCAATGGCTTCTTCATCAGGCAAAGTGTTACAAACCAAACAGGAGAAAAACAATTGAAGATGTTAGTCCAGGGGTAGGCAACCTAAGGCCCGGGGGCCGGATGTACCCCTCCGAGGCCGCCGCCGCCCCCCGCTGCCGCTGCTGCCCGCCATGATGATATTGAATATTGTTGTTCTTACTTGTTCTTGGGGTTTTCTTGGCAAAATCTCCACAGGGGTTTTGCCCTGGCTTTTCTGGGGCTGAGAGAGTGTGCATGCATATTTTTTAAAATGTTTTAATTTAAAAAATATTTATTTATTTATTTATTTATTTATTTATTTATTTATTTATTGTGCCTTGCCCCTCCCCCCAATTGTCTGAGGGACAGCAACCCGGCCCCCAGCTCAAAAAGGTTGCCTACCCCTGTGTTAGGCAGAGGTCTGCATTTTGCTGTACCTCACTGTGACCCCAGATTGAGAGACTTGCTGCAGTGGTGGCTACAGTGGCACAACAGAATGTGTTGTAAACAGCTACCTAACATCACAATGGAGGACTCTGGATATTCTTGAAGCTAAATAGCAGGTGATTGTCATGGAGAACCTGAGAGAAAAAAGAGATATAAGTCTTCCCTCATCAGCCACAATGCCATTAAATCAGGAGTAGAGGAAACCATGACTGTTTGGATGTTATGAACTACTACTGCCATCTTCCCTAAACACTGACCAGTGTGAGAGAGGCTGACAAACTACAGTCCCACAACATCTGGAGGGTCACAGTTCCCCAACCCTTCAGTGATCCTTTCGCTTGTCCACACAGCATGGTGATTTGCATCAGAAGAAACCTCCCACTGACACTTATAGGAGATTTTTCCTGATGCTAATTGTGGCATGTGAGAGAGAATTTTGCTCATGGATGGGGAAAGGAGGCTAATACCTCACCTCCCCAAGCACAAATACCTATGATGATGATGATGATGATGATGATGATGATGATGATGATTATCTTGCTTTCCCCCTACAATTGAGACAAAAAAAGCTGAAATTGTTCAAATTAAAAGAACAATACAATTAGAAACATACAAAAGTGAGAATTAAAATAGAATTAAACTTGTACAGTATTAAAATGCATCACTCAAAGGGATAAATGCAATTTTAAAAGATAAAAGTTTTAAAAAACAGTACATGTTAAAACAATTAAGAATACTAAAATGCATTAAAATAATAAAAATAGAACTATATACAGACCTATCAAAACCTTCAAATCCAGCACCCCAGAGCATTAAGGGCTCAAATTCAACCATTTGTAAAGGCCTGGTGGCACAAAAATGTTTTAACTTGCTACCAGAAGGAGAGCAAGGATGGGGCCCTCCCCCTGACCCCTCTACGGAGCGAGTTCCAAAGTCTGGGAACAGCCACCGAGAAGGCCCCCTCTTTTGTTCCCACCAAACAAAGTGGTGAAAGTGATGGGACAGAGAGAAGAGCCTCTTCTGATGATCTTAAAACCCTAATGGGCTCATGCAAGGAGATATGGTTCTTCAGATAGCCTAGATCCAAACTGTATAGGGCTTTATAGGTCAAAACCAGCACATGCCCCTTCTCTCCATGCTTTGTATTTAATTTTTAAAAAGTGATATGGTTGCTAAAAATGTTATTAATGTCACATGTAGGTGGTGTCTGTACAGGCCTGAATACTCTGAGAGCAACCCAGAGTATTCTGGCCCTGGATCTACCCTGACATCCCACCCACCCCCATTACCTGGACACTCCTTCACATGCACATCCCACTGTGACACACAGCACAGCTGCCGATGCAGCAGGTCACTTGCTCTGAGGTCAGAACAAGGCATCTAGCATTGGTCATATGGCTGGGTGCTTCATTGTGACCCCAGATTCAGTAACTTGTTGCAGTGGCAGCTACATAAGGTGGCACAGTGGAATGCATTGTAAACCGCTACCCAACATCACAACAGAGGACTCTGGATCTTCTGGCAGATCTGGAGCAAAAATAAAGTAATTTGAATCTGTTATAAGAGTGCTACACACCAGGTTCAATGCTGAACTGCTGGATGTCATCCATTCTGTTTGGGCCATACGTCATTCAGACTCCCCACCAAGAGGATGGGGAGAGGACATTTTATTTGGCCCATGCAGATAGGACGGTAGTTAGGCCCTCATGGTCATTAGTTACATGGTTTGTACTTCCAGTGCTCCTCATAGCTCTGTGTTGTTTGCCCTTGACAACCATCCCCATTATAATGCAGCTGTTAGAATATTGCAATTCCCTTGTTTGAATTATGGTGAACCTGTGTAGAAGAGGTCACGATAAGTCCCACAAGAGGAAGAATGAAAGATACATGAGCACCAGTCATCAACAGCCCCGTCACTCAAGGCCATAGCTTTCTTGACTGAGTCAATTGATCTGGAATGTGGTCTTCCTCTTTTCCTACTGCCTTTCACTTTACTGAGCATTAGCATCTTTTTTTAATGAATCATTTTGTCTCATGATGTGTCCAAAGTATGATCACCACAGTGTAGTCATTTTGGTTTCTTGTTATACTTCAGGCTTAATTTACTCTTGGACTCATTTATTTATCTTTTTAGTTGTCCATTTTATCTGTAGCACTCCCCTTCTGCACCACATTACAAATGAGTTTATTCTCTTCCTGTCTAGCCTGTACTAAACCATAAAATACCCTGGCTGATTTTGGGCCATTATGATCCTGACCTATCTGACAGGGTTGTTCTGAGAACAAAATGCAGAAGAGGAAAGCCATATATGCTGCTTTGTATCCACTGAAGTTTGTTGTTGTGGTTGCTTTTGTGTGCCTTCAAGTTGTTTCTGACATATGGCAACTCTAAGGTGAATATCACAGGGTTCAGAGAGGTTTGTCTTTGCCTTCTTCTGTGGCTGAGAGAATGTAATTTGCCTAAGGTCACCAGTGGGTATTCATGGCTGAACAAGGAATCAAATTCTGATCTCCAGACTCACAGTCCAATGTTCAAACCACTACA